CGCATTCCCCCATTCCCGCATTCCCCCATTCCCGCATTCCCCCATTCCCGTTCCCTATTTTAAAGATAGCCTTCCTAAACTGTTAATTTCAGGGAGTTAATTTAACCGCGGTGGAGTTGTTTTGAACCTCATTTAACTCCAAATGTGGAGTAAAATGAGGTTTAATTATTAAACCCAAAAATAACTCCACCGGACTCGAATTAACTCCCTGAAATTAATTTGAAATTGAATTTATTAATTGACATTCCCTAAAATGGCTTTTCAATGTCAATGACAATTTACATAAATTTTAAAAGAAATTATGAGTTATCAATTAACAGTGAGGTCGCACATACCTCCAATTGATCCGATAGGCTATATGCTAAAGTTAAACTAATGCAAAAAGCTCTCTGAACCTGTTTGTTCCTATATAAGACGATCCAAAGTTGCGGACAATTCTGAATGACTTCTCACGCAAATACTACGCTCGACCTCGAACACATTCTAGAACGTGACCTTGTTTAACTCACTAGAACGCGAAATCGAACACATTCAAGAACGTAAAATTAGCTGTGACCACAGCATTACACAGCATTAGCAAAACAGCTGCACTTACTTCTTATTAACTTAAACTACGCTGTTATTTGCTTTTACAATGTATATGGTACTGTAGTTATATTGAAGCAGGTTAACGAATTAAGGTGAATGATAAACAGAGAATTTGTTTCTATTCTTGTCACAAAGTAGGGTGCAATGTAACATAATCATATTCATGGGTTAACTAGACACATGGGCAGATAGTCTGATTAACACATTGAGCGCCGGTGCTCTTCTCTTGACGAGTAAAATAGCCTGGCGTTAGACAGACTGATAGTAAAGTGACGCGCATTCGGGCGCGCTGCAGCTTAATGGGTTAAAATATAGAACAAGATAGACTATTTTTCGAAAGTGGCTGGTGCCATTAAAAGAGAAGTTAATTCTCAAAGCTTCTATAAGGAATTAAATCCATAAGGCTGCTAGTCTTATCGAGATGTCATCTAACGAGATGCCATGTCATCCTTTATGCATGTTGCTGCCATGTTACACCCTTTAGTTGATTTAGTGTCATCCGGCTGAATATTGTATACTTACCACTTGATAGGTTTTGAGCATGACTCGGCGTTACTGAAACATGAATGTGCCTACTGCCTTGGACAAATGCAGGTGTGTACTGCATGTTTTTACCTGTATCCTTAAAGGATATGGCATGCAATGAAAGTTTGCCTCGATCGTTTGATAGATATTTTAAAATTTTGTATATGTAAAACAATACTGATTTTTCATATCTTGCTTAGTTCTGTAAATACTTTGACTGAAATCAATGTGCTGTCCGCCATCTTGAATTATATAGACATTTAATTAGTTTGTTATCTAATGTTCTAATTAACGGTGGGGTTAGCCATGTAAAAAAGTAGGGTTAGCGATAAAAACATGGCCTTTTTTAACTATATATATCAAAGTGCTTTTCTCTGAAATATAAGCAAAACATTCAATGGAAGAAAATGGAATTTAGAAGGGAGCTTTGAGAATTTAGTTGTGGTGTCTCCCGCGGCCTTACACAGACCCCTTGTCATATCTATACTAATTAAACTTGACTTTTTCAGGACAAATATGCTATACCATTTCTAATAAGGTATGTTAAACATTAATTGAAAACTTGTGATTGTTACCTCATGCCATACAGATTGCTTTTTGCTAGATATAGGATCGCCAAATGAACACATATACACAACTGCATGCATGTTGCTCGAAAACTTTACTTAAGTCTTCAAGAGCGTAAACTCAACTCTCTAACTGCTGTGTTTTTTAACACATGTTGGACTGTCTGCATGTGCCAGTGTAGGTATATAGTGCCAATAATATGAACAAGCTTTCGTTGGTAGGGATGCAACTACCTGAAAAATATCAGGAGAATTTCGACCTTTCGAGCGAAGGTCCTTCGTCTGGCTTGTTCTCTAACACAGTCTACATCATGTGCACTATATGTATAGGTGATAGGATGGTTTCGAGTGCAACTTGGGTAAAACATGCACGAGTGAGTTTTTCAAAGAGTACTCATCAAAATAGCACGAGTCTGAAGGACGAGTGCTATAGTTGAGGTCTTTGAAAAACTCACGAGTGTTTATTTTATCCAAATTTCACGAGAAACTATCCTATTACGTATTAATAATATACATCAGAATGTTCAAGACAATTATAGTGTTTTAACTTACGAGTTACGTTAATACAGCGAACCCGGTCCACTGAAAAAGTTTTTTTGCTTTGTTATGTCACATTAGACAACGCTAACGGCTTGAAAAATTCATTCATTACAACTACAGTGCATGTATAAGTTTGTTAGTGTTGTTTAAGGTAAAGTCTTATATCCATTTTAATTAAAAAAAGATAAAAGTCATATTTTCCACTCGAGCTCAACTTTTACTTTATGTATACTGTATAGCGCGGCCGCCATGTTTGTTTTGTCTTGAAGCAATCTGTGACCGTTAGTTCAGGACTGCTTTAAGCTGATTGGTTGATTTTAAATCCCAATTCATTTTCTACCAATCAGATCAGTTTGTTGCAGATTTTTGCGCTGTTATTACAGATTTTTGCACTGCTGTTTTTACGTGTAAACTGAAAGTCGCCGTTATACAATGTTTTCAAATACTGCTGCAGGAACATTATGAAACGTCAAAATATATCATTATTATTTTAGATGACGCTATACTGCATGCGAGTGACTGCACACCGTGCAAGCTGAAACATTTCTTGACCGCAGTGAGAATCAAATCCGTGACGTTTGACTTGCTAGTAGCGTCTGCGGAGTAGCGTCATCTAAGATAATTTACCCAAGTTCAAATTATTATTAGGAAATAAGTATTTATTAGGAAATAAGTATCCTGGGAAGCTGTAAAGATTGTTGTTTAATTTTATTTGAATGTTTCTTTTGTTTGTAAGTTCCGTTTGTATTTTTTTTAATATTAGTGAGCAAGCACTCTCCTCCGCAGAGGCTTTGTGTTTTGTTTTGGGTTTTTACGAAGTTTGCAGGCGTGATAGTCGCAGGCTAGGGGAAAATTATAGGGGATAAATAGGGATGAAGGGGGAGAGGCGGAGCGTGGGTGCGCGGGAGAAGACGGGAAGAGAGAAAAAAGAAAAGGAAGCTTCTCAATTTTCGCTCTTCCTGTCACTCCCCGCGCGCCGTTTCCCCTAACCTGCCTAGCCTGCGACTATCCCGCCTGCAAACTTCGTAAAACCCCAAAACAAAACACAAAGCCTCTGCGGAGGAGAGTGGTGAGCAAGCGATGTTTTTGTCAACACGGACGTCACCCGAAAATTGGTATAATTAATTTTGGCGGTATTTTGCATCGTAGCGCTCGTGAAAGGAAGCAAAAAACTTTTAAAGTCTTTTCTTTTGTCACGTGTTGACGATTGCCACAAACTGACACAAAGACAGTTTTTAATTTTAATTTCCCCCCCTCGTCCCTTGCTTATGCTTCCTATTTTATAAATTAGTTGCTACAGTAGGCTTGCCTGCAATATGCTGAATGGCAAATATACCGTATATATTAGACAAATGTTAAACATTTATCGGCACAGTATTTAAATTAATATACTGTATGCTCAGCCTCAGTGTTCAGTATAACGGTCTGCCATCGGCCCTTTTCCAAGCAAAATGCTGCTATCGCCCATTTTGCGTTATTAATTAATTTGAATAATGTCTCTCCTATTATATCGGCCATCATGAAAACGCTACAACTATACCACAATTTAATTTTGTCACGAAAAAATATTTGTAATTTATTCCACCAGAGTGCTGGAGGATAGAAATCAAGAACCTATGGTTAGACACGAGGTACAGTCTACTAATATGCCATGGAATAAGCTATGCGTCTTGCTCTGTTAGATCAATCTATCTAATGCCAGACGATTTGTGTCGTCAAGGGAAAGTGTTGAGTTTCAGTGGATATTATAACAGTCTATCATAAGAGTCTTTTCGATGTTTTGCAATATATTACGCTTTATTGCCTATTATTCGGCAATGAGAATTTATCTTCTCGGTTATCCAATTTTGTATAAAACAATGTTATGGACCTTCGTCGCTTTGGGGACTCCTTTTTACCTGCTCCTTTTTACCCGGGGTACAATGCCTCTCCCCACCCCCGCCTCTTGGCGGTCCTGTATATCACTCTTTCAGGAACTAAGAGGAGCGAACACCAGAGCGTATACACCAGAGCGATCGTGCGCCTCAAAATGCAATGTCTGAATCACGATAAATTTAAGAACATATCGTTCACATGCATTCTGTCATCTAAAGTATTGAAAGAGCGAGAATATTGTGAATCATGTTTTCTTTGCTGCATGCCAGAGCCTAGATTGTTCCCATATGGATTACAACAGCATGAATTACAACAGTACCATGCAACAACATTGCAATCGTCAATACGACAAGCAAAACAAAATCTGAAGAACACCAAAAGCCAAACTTCATTTAATGCAGTACAATGACAAGCATTATTGTACTGAGAGACAATCAAATCCCAAAGCAAACCCCAAACCTAACCTTTATACCTATTTGCAAATGCACGAGTTCTGTATTATATAAGACAACATATTTATAACATTCTAAGAATTTTTTATTTCAGGCAGGCGAAGCCCTGGGTGCGATAGGTTCACCACAAGTAATTGATGTCTTAACAAAGTTTCTCAAAGATGACCAGATCGAGGTAATTGTTTCTTTATAATAACAGTCATTGCATAATGTCTAATATATAGTTGAGCGTTTATAGGGCTTGGATGGTGAGAAGGTGGTTTTCTGTCAATTTGGGCGAGGCATGTGAACCTCTAGAACTGATAGTAGCTCAGGCGGAACCTATAATTTGCCCGTGAATCGGCTCGCTAAAACCCTATATAGCAGGCAAGTGCTGAATTAATGTACATATATACATGTACAGTGGCCCCAGATCTAGAAATTGGATAGCCAGCAAGGGGGGGGGGGGGGCGCGCGAGAAATACGGAGTTATCAGCGAAAGGTTAGATATCTTAGATGTGAATACTGTTGATTCGCAATTTGATTTGCACTGCCCCATGTCTAGCAATGACCTATGCATACAAAAACAGAATGAAAAAATTATGATTGAGGGAAAAGTGGTTAAGCCAAACTTTCTATTGCACATGCATTCTTTTAATTACACATGCTAAAGTTGTCAATGTTCAATCGCTACATGTTATTATTTATGTTATTTAATTTTATCGTCACTATATTAAGAAAACAATTAACTCTACTTAATTCATTAGACCTCCATATTGAATTGGTGTTCAGTCTTCAATTGTAATTATAAACTCTTGACTTGACCCCATGACAATCATATAGGTTATAATGAGTCTTGCATGGGTTGAGCAGACTCAGCAGAGTTTAATTTATAGATTTTTGGTTGATCACTGCACCTCGAAATCTGTCTACCACAATAATTTTACGTACATTATTACTGTGTTGATTTTTCGATCTGTCACGCAGGCTTGATTTTTTGAGCACTGCTGGAAAATGTCCGCCAGGAAATGATAACAAAATATCTTCGCAGGAAATTTTCTTACACCTTGCAAGACAAATATTTTTGCCGTCTTATATAGCCTACTACAATGCCACATAATTTACTAATTATCAAATTTGTCGAAATGTTTATCACATGCAATGTTTCGGTACCATAACTTCTCCGAAATCTACCAGCCCTATGCAGGAAGTTCTCTTTTGACTTATACAGGGTGTCTAAAAAACGCTATGGAAATTCAACAGGCTGTCGCGTGCATCATAAACCTAGCTAAACAATTCAATTTTTACGTAGGACGAAAGAGCTATTATTTAGCTTGTCTTGATACCTTTTTTAAATCGTAACGATAAGAAATGGCAACATACTTGTCAAATAGAAATTGCCGGTCGAAATCATATATTCTTCCACCGTTGGAAATTGAAAATACATTAATTATGCAAAGTTGGTCAATCCAAAAGCAACGCGAGCCTGCTGCAAGCTATTTGTTTCGTACAACGTTTTCATTTTGATTACGAATGTTCTCTGTTCAGGGGTTAATTGAACCATGTTTAATGGACGTTCTTATGGGGTTATTGTCTCACTAAGACGAAGATTGACGAGTTGAGTTCATTTTAGATAATTTAACATTCAATTTTCCCTCTTGAGAATTGTCTATATGTTTCGTTTCCATGCATTTCCCAACAGTGGAAGAATGTGATTTTGACCGGCAATTTTTATTTGACGAGTATGTGACAATTTCTCATCGTTACGATTTAAAAATAGTATCATTGAAAAGCTAAATAACTGTTCTTTCGTCGCATGTAAAAATTTTATTGTTTAGCCACGTTTATCATAGTGATGCACGACAGCCTGTTGAATTTCCATGGCGTTTTTTTTTAGACACCCTGTACAGTTTTGGGTTTTGCTGCCAGGAAGAGAAGTATATTTTCCAGGCCTGGTTTTGAGTATAGGTGGAATTTTCGAACAAAAATTTATATATAATTATATTCTATAGTATATAAACGTAGCCGGTATACAGTATAAGACACATTGAATTGAGAATGGTTGGCTGTCCATCCTTTGTCAGGTAGCAGAGACGTGCGAATTAGCATTGGAAAGAATAAAATGGTTGCAAGAAAGACGGAAACATGAAGAAGGCAAAATAAGGTGAGTTGGCTATAGGTCTTGTAAGTCTGTGTTTTTGGAGAAGGCAAACCATTACTTTTCAAATGAGAAGATCTTCAGCGATGCATGCATGGCCGTTGCGTTGAGCTTACATCACAATATGTATAATTTCTAAACAATAATGCACGAATATTTTACAGTAACGATATAACTAGGCAGAAAAGAGGGGGAAAGGAGAACATGAACCTGCAGCAAAATTTATTTAATAATTATTTACAACTCACACGGTGGTGCTATACGTACTACAATCATTGACAAACATGTTCGGGCAAGATTCATAAATAGCTAAATCTACCCTCTAAGCAATGTTGCTGTATGACATCGTGTTTTCATTGAGAACGTACAGTATTGCACTGCCTGATACAATACCAGAACACAACATTGTTAAATGGCCACGGGGGTTAAGAGTGTGCATGCCTGGTGCCCTACTGCCCGAAGGGTTTTGTCAACGATTGCAGACAATTTGGGTAAATAGAAAAGGTATTAGAGGCTGAGGGATAAAAAGTAGAGTGTTTTATGATTTAAGTGAGAAGAAGCCAACCTCACAAGCGTAGCATGTGGAGGTAACGAGCCTGGCTTGCGAGGTTGGACGATGTCTCAAATTCATTAATAATTTATGAGTACAGTACATTTTGTTCACATGATGATACTGGATGTACCTAGAGTACTGATCCAGTCCTTCGTCTGGATAATGCAGTCCTCAAATTCGGATTGGGCGAAATCGTTTCACAATAAATAACGCTTCGAAGTAAAATAAAAGTGTTGCTATTGAAGCTTTCAAATATGTTTTCGCCAACAGTTCTAATCCATACTGTTCAGTGGACCCAGCACCACCGGATCTCAGCTCAATGGATGACGTAGATTCTCTAAGAAAAACCTTGCTAGATGAATCCCTACCGTTATTTAAAAGATACAGGTACGTATATACACATTTAACTTTCTTTAGACTGAATAGCTGTATCAGATCAAGATCAAAGCCTTAACTGTTTTTCCTCTAGAGGTTCGGCAACGTTCATGTGTTATTTAACAAATATAAAACATTTTCAGTGTTGATATACAGTTATATCAACACGAGTGGAAATTGGAAAACGAGAAATTGTGTCACACAATTTCGAGTTTTCCCAATATCAACGAGTGTTGATATAGCCTAACTATATATATCAATACGGAAAAAAGTTTTATATTTGTTTTATAATATAGCACAAAGAAATATAAAGAAAGAAATTTTCCGACGTTTCCGTGTTGACATTGAGTTATATTAACACGGCTCTTAGCCAATCAGCGTTCAGAATTTACAAATGCTATATTATAATGAATATTGGTACACGATTTTAGGAATTGGGTGACCTGCGAAGGCGAAATTGTAACTATAGGTTGGGGCGTATTTAACAGTTACACTGTTTTGTAGTAAAATAACAGTTGACTGCAAATAATTTCAATTGTTTTTCTTTGAGACTTTTCCATGCAAACAAATTATATTGTCATGAACGGGAATTAGAAATTACTTATTTGTTTGAGCGGAATGAGAAGAACTATACAGTTTATATTATTGTAATGCGATGAAACCATATATTAATATTTCTGTGTCGAAATACCGGTCGTAGTGGAACCCTTAAATAAAGCAAATAATTTCCTTAATTTTTTTAGAGCTTTGTTTTCTCTCAGAAACATTGGTGGAACTAAATCCGTTGTGGTAAGTTGTTCGGTAATAACCATGCAACTCAGTTTCTCAGGAATTGGAGCAGGACCCTTTCAAGCACATTGGAATTGGAACCTATCCGCAATAGCCCCAATTACCTACTCCATCAGTAAGCACGAAGTTTCTAACATTTTTATTCAGGCTTATATAATTATTGGGGGGAAATATTCCCAATATGAAAGAAATATTGCGTTTACAAGTGTGTGTTTTTTTATTGTTATAGGCTCTAGCAGAAGGCTTGGGATGTAACAGTGCTTTATTTCGCCACGAAATAGGTATGTCAAATTAACTAACTTGTATATTATTCAGTTTACTTAGTTCCACTATGAGAAACGTTGTTTAAAATCACGATGGATCTTTATTCGCACATACTCATATATATACTTTCGTACTGTTTTTCCAAAACATTTTTAAGTGGAATTTGTTTTTTTGTTTGTGCAGCATACGTTTTAGGTCAAATGCAACATGAAGCTTGTGTCACGCAACTTAAAGAGGTAAGTACCAGTTCCTATACATATGCGTCGTGTGTTTAAATGAACAGAGGCCAAAATAAAATCTAGACCAGCAGTCAGGGCTATACTTTCCATTTGCAGGCTTAAGTCTGAGGTTTCTTTTTTCTAGTGTCTTGAGAAAAACGGTGAAAACCCAATGGTACGACACGAATGCGCGGAAGCGCTAGGTGCTATTGCAAAGGTTAGTTTAGAAATGTGGAGTTTCAAACAAGTTGCATACGTCAATGTTGCAAGCATGAGCACATGTATGAATAGTCATTGTTAATATTACAGGGAGAGTGTCGAGAAATTCTTGAGCAATTTGCCCAGGACAAGGAACGTGTTGTCAAGGTAACGGGTCAGTTGTTAATAATGTATTCAGGTTTTTCAATGTTTTATGTAGTATACATTTGCCTGCTTGTGAAACTAAACGTGTTTACACAGATTTATCCCATGTTGTGGCGCAATCGTCAGAGCAAGCGCCTTGCACCTCTGAGACAATGGAATCAATTAGCACTGCAGACTCATGGCACTTATGGTAAGCAGTATAAGCGCCATTAGAAAGCCTTTGATTCGATCAGGTTGAGGTTATTTTCAAGGTTTTTTATCAGCATAATTTGACAATTGATAAAATCACTAAAAACACGAGCACGAGTTATGAATATATACTCTGAAACAACAAAAGATGTTCATGGCATACGTTTTAATACGTGTCATGCATAAGTTAATGAAGTTGTGTAGCATTCCCGCATTCCCCGTTCCCTATTTTAAAGATAGCCCGTTTTTCTTAGTGGTTTTTCTCAATTCGCATATTGTCGGAGAGCGGTCGAGACCTCAGTTTTGGAGACTCACGAAAATTTTTCAGCAAGCGTATGTATGTCCCATCCCCCCTCTCTCTTTTAAAGGTCGCAAAACCAGCATTTTTTTTTCTCTCTAAAAATTCAGTTGAAAGTTGAAGGGAAATTGTCTCGTGTAAGATGTAGCCTCTTAAGGTGATTCATCAACTTCTCAGAAGAGAAATGATTTTTCTCTTATTTTCTGATATGACATGTAAAACGTATAGAAGAACAAAGTATAAAAGTAGGGTCACGGACCTTCTTAAAGAAATACAAGGATTAAACATGCAACATCATGATGTGGTTTAGAGTGTGAGTTGCACAGAGAGCCTCAGCCAGAGTTCTATCATTTTCGAAGGCATATTTCCTGAGGCGTTCCTAATCAATGCAGGGTGTTTTTCTCTTTGCCCATACTCTTTCTTTATCACTTTACATTGCAGTTCGACTACATATATTGTCTAGAATTTGTTATTAGATATGCACTTTCAATCACCTTAATTAAGTGCGCATTTATTACACGGCGGAAAAACGTCTGCGCATGCGTCAACCTTACTGAAATTTGCCTTGCGAACGTGATGTCAAGTATTCCGAAGGTGTCAAAAACTCAAAATGGAAGCGACAAGCAGCGACTTCGATGTTTTGCCTTTTCTGTGAAAATGCAAGCGGAATAAAGAATGTGACAACCTAAAAGCTAGAAATAATTACAGCCTACATGCGCAAGAAGTTGTATTATGCAAGAAAATGAACCAAAGGTGACTGTCGATAAATTTATTGTATAAAACGTTCTTTAACTGAACCATACAAAGATATTTTTCTAGGGTTCATATGATCCAGATTTTTATCAATAATTTTTTTCGTAGCATGTATAGTTTTTGCGTTGACTATATATTTAAGGGTAATGTGTAATGATTTACTCTACAATTTAATCATGTGCGAATGCTTAACTATTTGATAGTTTTCTTAACTTTTGTGTCTTCACACGTCTCCCAGTCTAAAACGATAATTTTTAATTTAAATTCTTTTTAGATTTTAAATGTTAGAAAACTTTTTTCTAAGCTACCCGTCTAGTGTATGTTTTGTTTTTTCACTTGCCTTAAATAATTAAATAGCCTTGTTTTTGTTTACAATTTGGCATTTTAATTCCTCGTCATTTTTTCTAGAACACGCGCATGGGCAGACGTTTTTCCGCGGTGTTGTGTATTTATTACCTTAAATTTGTTATTTAATCCTAGGAAAGCTGCCTGGTGGCATTGGACATGCATGACTATCAAACAAGTAACGAACTGGAATATACTAAGACCATTGATAAGATAAAGAATGGCGTCACTTCTAATTAAATATTCTATAACTATATACATGACAAAGGGAGCCAGAATTTTAGACTTGCGTTAATTGTGTGATTATTCTTTATGGGCTGTTTTTGTGAAGCTGGTTTCGTGAAGCTGGCCGTGTGAGCCGGATGATTCTTTTAAAATAAGAAATTTTCATCCCGCTTGCTTGGACGATTTCGTTGTTCTAACTGTTTCTAACATTAGCTCGTGACGATATTATTTTCATCCCCTCTCTCCTCAACGTTCATATCAGCATCATAACGCCACTCGGTTGACTCCATATTTGGTCAGTCATTAATTAGTTGATATGACGATTTCGTAGTTGGCTGTTAGCCAATCAGAAACCATAAATCATCCCCGAGCCGACGGCGCCAAGCGCCGTGCGAGGGTACTAATTCCCCCGGCTATTTACACCCGCGGGGAAACGAAAGCATTGGCGAAGTCTAAAGTTCATCAATCATCGCGGGCGCTGACCAACGAACGACGATCTTGAGTGGGTGGTCATCCTCACTTATCTCAAAAATATGGCAAGCAAGATTTCAATTTTAAAAGACATATATTTGGAAAATCGTTTCATATACAACAAGATTGAAGCAATTTTGTTCGAAGAAATGAGAAGAATTGGTTTACTACGGGAAATCGGGAAGTATACGGCAAGTTTGCTTTGAATATTTTTAAAATGTTTACGAATTTTGTTGCTTTAACTTTTTACGTAATAAAAAACATGAACTATATAGAAGCTCTAAGTTTCATAAATTACCGTTTAATTTGAGAAAAAATCTTAAAATGTAAGGGCGAACAAATTGATTTGAAGACTGAACTGAAATTACCTAACAATTTTATTTTATTTGTATTAAACTTATCATGTTTTGTTAAGTAAAAACAGTTTATCGGCAAAATGTAGGTTTACTTGAATGAACATTTCAAAACATTTTACGAAGCGTTTCAAGTTAAATTTTACTTTAAATCAAAGCTCACAAAATGCAAAATAATATACCTACAGTATGTATTTCGGAAATTTATTGTTGTATATATTTAAAAGTACGAATCTTTCAACTATTTTGCAGTTTTGTACAAAATATATGAAAATAAAAATTTAAGAATATCGTGTTGTCATGGCAACACTTGAGCGCGAGCCTGCGTTCAGTGCTGGTCATTTCTGAATACTTCATGTTTAATGTATGGCAATATTGGCGAGGGGTTACTGCATGCACGTATTTCTAGTTTAAATGAATAATAGAACTTTGGCAGTGGTTATTTGTCACGGAAGCCAACGAGTTTTGCCTATCTGTCGATCCGTGAGTTAATTTGATTGGTTCATTTGTTCGTTTTGTCAGCTTGCTAAATGACATCAAGTATATAACTTTCAAGCAAATCCTCGGTAGCCGAGTGGTTAAGGCGTTACCCATTCTCGTCCCCAGAGCCATTTTCACTCGGTCACTCGTTGAAAATTAGGCTCTGGTTTAGACGACTAAAGGAAGAGATCTGATTGGCTTTTCAGAGAACTGCTATTTCGCAGAAGTTGAGGAGTTTTCGCTAGGCAAAATTATTCTATCAACATATGTCAACACAAATACTTCGCTTCTTCGTAATACTTCACTGTGAAAATTGTTACGGGTGCTAAAGCGTCCCAATTCAAGAGCATGCCCTTTAGAAACTACTGCAAGTTTTCTTGCACTTCCGGTTCGGTGTGTCCCAGGGCCTAGAAATGACGCGCACGGCCGGGAGGCCCTGGGGACGAGGATGGGCGTAACCGGACGAATAACAACTTCGTATAACTTATTGGATTCTTCTCAGCCCAATAATAAATATGGCAAAATATTAAGTCTCGACTTCAATATTGGGCGAGACCGAAGATTGACCCTAATACTGAAGTCGAGACTTAATATTTAACAATTATTCGCCGAAGGTGAAGTGATTACCGGTGAATATCTCGAACCTCTGGAAAACAAATCTCCCTCGGGAGCAGAATTAAGTGTATATAATATGGCAATAAAAACAATAATATCGATTTGGCCAACCCTTCTAACAAGGTTTTAGTTAACATCGAAAACGATATCTGACTAATCGATGCCAGCAAGCAACCGTTCAACGTCGAAACCTCTCTGCATGGTAACATCAGGAGTGCCGCAGGGGTCCATCCTCGGTCCGTTGTTGTTCTTTCTGTACGAGAATCATCTCTCCAATGCTGTGACTAGTTCAAAGATTGCTACGTTTGCTGATGATACCAAAATCTTTAAGACCATCAATTCCATTTCTGATGCTGCTGCTCTGCAGAGTGACCTGTTAAAATTTGAGGAGGGCTCAACCAACGTGAACCTGGAGTTAAATGTAAGCAAATACTAAGTGTTGAGAGTCACCCGTAAGCACAACATAATCATCTACCCGTAGACGCTGCATGATACCGTTATAGAAAGCACGGACAATGAGCGTGATCTTGGAATATTAACTTCAGCTAGCCCAACTTGGTCTAAACATGTCGAGTACCAGTGCGCCAAAGCCTCCAAGATTCTCCAAGACCCTATATAGGATACATTCGTAGATCAACGTTCGACATCAAAGGCAGCGCAGTTCGCCGCACTCACTCTATACTTCACTCTCGTTCGTGCCACAAATCATCGGTCTAATCCAACGCACAGAAAGACTTCAACGACACACGACTACGTATGTCTTGGACCTACCCTTCCCTTGTGAGACTACATAGGGCTTATTCCATTGAGCTACTGGCATGAATTTCTGGATATGGTTGTGTTTTGCAAACTAATTCATGGACTCATGAGAATTGAAGAACATTTCCTGCCTCCACCAGCAAGTGTCAACAGAGAAACAAGATCATCCGATCCTGACCATTTGTCATTCACGACAACACGATGCAAGACCACTACAGTTATTAGTCGGTTCAAAAATGGACTTTTCTTGTATTATAAAGTAGCATTAGAAACAGTATACGACGTGGATGATCCAAGAACATTGGAAATCAATATGTTTGGTCTTGTAACAAGTCCCGTAATCTGTCCTGTCAAGTATCGTGTTGTTATTAGTTTAATTTAATAATGTGATGTTGTATCTTATGTTTATGTCTATATATTTATTATTGTGTTTAAATGTTTATTGGCAAAGTTAAATAAATATAAATAAATAAATATAAAACGAAACCTCACAAAGCATGCTTGAAAATGCTTTTTACTTTAATTTTAACGAGAAAAAATAAACAACGAAAAACGAAATGGTTTCAACTGGTTTTCCAATTTAAGATGAAAAATTCCAAAAACTGCTTGTTTGTCTCCTATAGCTATACGTGAGTGGAGGTTTATTTTGGTTCGACGAAAATGCTTGTCAATGCATGGATGCAAGCATGCGGTACAACTATCAGTGTGCGGTACATATACGTCTCTTGACGAGAAAGAGACAACAGCCATGCAAGCCTGAAGCCAGTCAAATAGAAAACGAGTCGCATGCATTTATGGTGTTGGGAGAATACGAGAGAAGTGTGTAAACATGAGGCGTAGCCGAGTGTTTTACACGCTTCTCGAGTATTCTCCCAACATTCCCCGAGTGCATTATCACACCATAAGGCATAAACGCGCGAGACGAGTTTTTCTATTTCTTTTGTAATATAAGCAGAAGATGTTACATAGTAAACAATTTTACTCAAATGATCGACATTGAAATTCTCCGAACATGTACTCAGTGACGTCACGCGCATGTTTTAACTTTTTACTGTCGCTTAAATTTTTAAGCGAGCGAAGGAGCATAAAAAAATAATGCAACATTTTGAGGCTCAGTAGAGACTAGAAACCGTTTAAAATGCTGGGGCACCAGTGATACACAGACTAATTTGCTAATGTTTGTTCTGGGCTGCTGGATTTGCCATGAAAGACGTTAAATCGTAGGTTTTGTCGTGTTGCTCAATTTTAATTTTTGAAATTATTATATTTTTTGCCTTTCGCTGAAAATATATCTGGCAGTTTTTATCAGAAGCATTGAAGGTACTTTCTACCTATTTAGGTAGTCCAAGAACCAAAAAAGTGGTACGGTACCAAAAATCGAGCGCAGTGTAAACGGGGCTTAAATCACTTATATATGTTCAATTGTTTTCCCTTTTTCTATGTTTTTGGTATTCCTGTACAGTATCTCTTTCAAGGTTTTTCTCGGCTATTTTGCACCGCAAAATTACTACAAAAACAAATTCGACGAATGCCAAGCCGGTCAATTTCACCATTTTTACACGTACAACTATACATAAAATTGCTTTGTAATTGTTCCTTTGGTCTATTCCTTCTTGCTTTGACTTTCTGATAAATTTTTGTATTTTAAAAGCTCTATAGACATAGTATTTTTTTTAATATTTTTGGCTAAAAAGCAGAGATGAAGCGGGGGGAAACACAGAAACACGGAAAACAGTGCATTATTGCGTCAGAATGCACACGCATTAGCCAATCAAAGTTTCTGTTATATCCCACTTATATTATAATTAATACTAAAGTTAATCCTTTGCTATCCGCTCATCGTAGCAGCCCGTACTGTTGAGTGATCGATCATTCAGGGACCAATCAAAATGTTGCATTTTGCAGGTGAAGTGCGTAGCCAAATAATGAATATGTTTTACTCACGTACACTGTAAAAAAATAATATTGGTACATATTTATGAAATATAATCTATTAATGTATTCACAAGAATATGTTATAAAAATACCTACAGTACTAGTATTTGCTATGTTCTTATACAATGGTATTATAGACTTACAAATTAATTGACACAATTATTGGGAATATATATAGCTACAATCAGTGACAAAAGGTTTTTGGACAGTGGTATAATATATACATATCTCCGCATTTCCAAATACTGTTCAGCATAAAGCCACTATCCCTCCCTCCCCCACCCTAAACAATGTTGGGTGGCTGGCAAGGAACATTTTGCGCAGGTATTTCCACACACAACATTGAACGGGGGGTGCGGGGGGTCGATTATGTTGTAAACGTACACTGTTTAGCTATTTTGTCCAAAGTGTTTTGTCACTGATTGTCCGAAACGGTGTTTTAAGCCAAATTAAAATTTCAGTTATTGAAGCTAGAATTACTTGTATTTTATAGTATTACCAATGGTGTTTACAAATATAATAGATACCGTGTTTTGGTGAGCGTAAACACGGTTAATTTGCGCATACATTGTATGTTATTATTCTAGTTTAATCATAATGCGTTCATGCACGTTTCCAGAAACAGTCCAACATTGGGAATTTCGTAGTTTGGAACTGCAAGCGAAACTAGTAAAGCAATCTGGAATTTAGGGCAGGTAAACACGTTCGGAAGCATATGCAATTATCTTTAAGTGCTTATTACGTTACTTTTGTGGAGAATGTAACGTCATCGGTAACATTCGGATTAATCTCAAAGATGTAGTATTATAAAGCGCACAGTATGCATGCTATAAATAAGAGCTAGTTATATAGAAACAAAGTAATAATGGCATATAAAAAAACTATTTCAGATACAACGCGACCGTATGTGCTATTTCTTGGTAAAGAGAAACGATATTCCTGCAGAGCGATTGCTAAAAAGGCAAGAATATCTAAAGCGTCAGTCTCTCTTATTCTGAGAGGAAAAGTTCAGCGCAAGCAAGATTTGAAAACATGCAAGAAAATTGGTAGATCAAAGAAGCTGTGAGATAGAGATCGGAGAAAATTAATAAGAACAATAAAAACTCTGCGTGATAAAGACCCAAATTTTACTGTTAAGCGCTTGGTTGCGCACAGCGGACTGCTGTCACGTGATATTTCGTATCGGACATTTTATGGTGAGGGGAAGGCAGCTGGATTTGATTATCTACCTGCGCGTAAAAAGGGGGTTTTAACAAGCCGTGATCGCACGAAAAGAAAGTCGTTTGCGCAACATTGCAAGATGATCATTTCCACAAAGCCCGGATTCTTCTCGCGAAATATTGCCTTCTATTTAGACGGGGTTTCTTTTGTTTATAAGACACAGCCTCTTAGTGACGCTTTAGCCCCTAGAGGGCGTGTATGGAGAAGAAAGAGCGAGGGTTTACAATTGACGGCAAAAGGATCTAAAACCCTTGCGGGTGGAAAACGGCTTCACTTACTGGTCGCAATTTCTTACAACATTGGGGTTGTATTGGTAGAAGAATATGAGAAAATGACCGGTACCTATTTCGCTGAGTTCGTAAAAAAAATATTTCCAGCACTACTATCGCGCAAGCGTGGAAGAAAATGGTTCATAATGGACAACGACCCGTCTCAGCGAGGCCTAGCAGCTAAGACAGCTATAAAGGAAGAGGGATGTGAGTTATTTTGTATCCCAGCGAGATCTCCAGACTTAAAGCCAATAGAAAACATGTTTCACATAGTTAAGAAGCAGCTTGATGCTCAAGTTAGAGACTCACAGATTGTGCGTGAGACATGGGAACAATTTTAGACTAGAGTTATAAAAACTTTATATAATGTTTGTGTAGATTATGCAAATAATATTATAACAAGCATGCCTAAGCGAATACACGCTGTATTGCAGGCTGACGGCTTTAGAACAAAATACTGACAAAGTTACTATGACAACGGATTGTACATGGTATTTCCGTATCAACGAATCCCACACATGTTCGCGTAATAATTTCCATATTTTCTCACATGTATATGATCGTTGTTGGGAATTTAAACACACAGTTGCCTGCGTAAGGAATACATTAATACTTTGGCTTCAAATACGCGTGCGTTTCGTTATGAAAGACAGAGAAAATGGGTTAAAAGTCGACGAATCCCACTTTTCTATTTACTAATTATGAGGTCATATTTCAACTTACTATAAATAGTGGGAATCGTTCGACGAAAGTCGGAATTTCATGGAATCAAATTGATTCCGCTCGAAGTTAACCGCATAATCAATTCCTTTGACATATTTACAATAAGCTAAGAGAGAAATACAGCAAGAATTGTTGAACTTAATTCCCTTTTCTACATAAAATGTGACTGGGATTCGTGTGGGATTCGTTGATGCGTCATAAGCCACTTAGGCAGCGTTTACACTGTACCGTTTTCGTAGCGTTCTCGTATTGTTCTTAATCCTCAAGGGAGCGCAAGACAATAGTCTAGTTCTCTCGAACAATACGAGAACGCTACGAAAACGGTACAGTGTAAACGCTGCCTAAGTTAGTGATGACCAGAATACATATTTGTTAACACCTTAATGTAGCCTACGTTAAATTAAAATACATCATTATAGATCACTGCTCAGCGTATAATATTAACTCAGCAAAGCATCGAGCGCAAGCCGCAATGTTTCTTTGTTCATCACGCGGAATTTGTCTATGAAGCGGAAACATTCGCCATCTTACATTCATCATTTCTGTGTTCACGCGATCAATAGATCCATTGTTAATTAAAATAAGTGGGGCGTCACTCGTTGCAAAGAATGGCGTGTCCCTCTCGAGAACAATATATTTGCTCATCTGATTTTTCGGGGCTGGAAAATGAACCGTGTCACCTTCTAAGACCTGCAAAAACTCGCATCACGGTATAAGGGATGGTTTCCCCAACCCTACATTTTAAGCCATTTATACGTGTATGAATTTATACCTATATCACGCTTAACTGAAATTACTTTATTATGAGCCGACCAGCCAAATAATGGGTAAACATTTGTTTAGGTACTTGGTAAATTTAAATTTTTAATCAAGGCTGAACATGTAATAAATACTTGATATTTATGATACAATATTCTGCCAGTTGCATACAATCAGTGACAAAAGGTTTTTGGACAGTGGTATAATATATACATATCTCCGCATTTCCAAATACTGTTCAGCATAAAGCCACTATCCCTCCCTCCCCCACCCTAAACAATGTTGGGTGGCTGGCAAGGAACATTTTGCGCAGGTATTTCCACACACAACATTGAACGGGGGGTGCGGGGGGTCGATTATGTTGTAAACGTACACTGTTTAGCTATTTTGTCCAAAGTGTTTTGTCACTGATTGTAGTATGGGAATAAACACTAAATTTAATTTATATAGTTTAACTGACCTATAATTATAATAGCAGTTCTATAATTCCTATTCAGACTGTTACTGTTGCCTTCTGCAGTTCTGCTCAGTGCTCTAGTCATCGTTTGGAACTCAGGTCGATAATATTATTCATTGTAATCATGGTCCTGTCCAGTTTTATGGCGAACTTTCATAGCGAGTGACCGGGTTGCTTTCCTACATAATGAACGATAATTGAACACATAAATGCAGGCTTCTAGTCACCGGCTCGCCTTACCATATATATTCATTTATATTCAAGATTATACTTTTACCAACTGTCTATACTTCTAGCCGACAAGCAGTGCCACGCCTAGTACGGCAATACTGCCGCCAAAAAACAGGGCGATGTCCTTCCATTTTGTACCAGACCTTCCCAGGCCAAGTACGTTTTCTCTAAGATATTTGAGAGAGGCGTCTTTCCAACATGGCATGGCTTTGTATGGGATGAAATCAGGGTGAACGGTTTCAATTGCTTTAATCAAGCATTCTGCTTCATTACGAGGGTACGTTTTGAAGTCCTCCAAGTAGAATTGGTAAGTACGGATGGAAAACACGATAGCACCACTTTTTGCCAGCTTACGTAAAGTTTGGTACTCAGCACGAAACATTAAATCGCGTCCTGTTTTTTCACCTTGATATGCGTACTCTTTAGCCTTCTATAACAAGAATGCAACTCCTCATTAATGCCTGAGTGTGTTTCATCCCAAACGCAACGAAACGGGGGCATATATTTCTTGTTTTGGGGAGCCCTATAGGGAATGCCTAGCGATATATGTACATAAAGGAGAACGTCACCAACAGTGCATTTCGATATGGTTTGTTATTTCCAACCACATGCAAAAACATAGCTATCGTTAACACTTTCATCATACATGGTGGCACAGAACCAGGTTTACCATTCTATAGGGGAGGGGGCTGTTCCGCTTTTGTCCAACCCTCGTACTTGCTTGCTGCATGTTTGGTTGCTCCATGCATACATACATCAATTATATTTGGATTCCAACAGTGGAGATTATATAGAAAAGGCAACTATAGTTTTTAATATAGGCAGGATAGCAAGAACTGAGAAGAGGGAGGAGATTAAAAATGGAAAGAAAACTATATCAAGATTTTTATTTCACAGTATATTACATTTATTGGATCTAATCAAGAACAGCTGCGAAAAATGCAACTATACTGTAAGTTCCTGGCAGGAATCGGCCCTGCGGCCCTGCGGCCCTGCAATTCCGGTGCAGCGCTGGTTAAGAAAATTAATGTAAACGTTTCTGCTACTTCGTGCTCATCAAGTTATTTTACTACAGGTTGAAGTGCAAAACTTGTTTAAAGTTATTTACCTCATTACGTTCCACATGCCCACTTGGTGTGTAGAGATCAAGAGCCCCATCCAGGTCATGAAACAAAGCCCAGTTGCCACGGTATACAGGAGCGTCTGGAGACATTGCTTTAAAGAGGTCGTAAACTTTCGGCACTAGATGATTTATGAATCTAAAATGTTTGTATATATAACTAATTGTAATATATAGAATGGTTTGAACTTTGAAACATAATTTGAAAAAACATGAGCATGCATGCGAGTGACCAAAAATTTCACAAGAAAACGTTTCCCATTAAAAGCGATTTTAAAAATAAAAATTATTATATCGGATGACGCTACAGTATATATTTGAAGTGCCACTAACTCAAAATATATGGTTTATGTGTGATATTTGGGTCGCTTGGATAAGAAATGTATATAATATATCATTATAGTAAAAAAAACTCAAGGATTATTACATTTCTTCTTAGAATGATCCGATTACTACACACACCAAAAATTATATTTGGGTTTATATAGTAGCACTTAAACAATAGCAAGGGTCTTCTTATCGAACTAAGACAATGACTGTTTTTTTCAGCACAAACTAAAATTCTCTAGTATGGTAACATACCCTGCAACGGGCTTATGTATACCCATCATAGGCAGATTAAACTTTTGTTGAAGCGCCCAACGCATGGGAAAGAACACCACACCTGAATAATTAAATTTACAGTTTAAAACCTGAATTTATAGTGTTAAGGAAGAGAAATGCATCTTACAGTTAGATAAAAAAGTCTTCAATTAAGACCGATCATGAAGGACGAAGATCCAGAGCAATTTGTTTGACACATAAATGCAGGGCATTTTTTAAGAATTCGTCAGTGGGGGGGGGCCATCTACAAAAAGGGACCATACTATACCGAGTGTGGAGCAATGATAGATGGTTTGTTGGTAACAAAAAGTTTGGTGTGGTATCGAATTTAATGGTAGGGGGGAGAGCAGGGCCGTAGGAAGCTCTTTTCGTTTGGGGGGGCTGAAAGCGAGGGCCGAAGGCCCGAGGAAATTTTTAAATTTAGAGTCTCTGAAATGCCATTTCCTGTACTTTGGGGAAGATTTGACAGATTTCTGATTGTCAGAAAACAGCGTTTTTAGTTTGTGGAAATTTAGAATTCAGTAGTACTAAATGGACGAAGGTGCATTGAATTAACGATATATTGGATAAGTTGCAGGAAAGTATGGGTAATATCTTCACTCTTTGCAGTTTGTCATGGATTAAATAATAAAGGTCTGCATGATTTTGAAAAATGAATGATTATTAGCAAATTATTGGGGGGCTGCAGCCCCCCCCCCCCGCGGTTGCTACGGCCCTGGAGAGGGTCTGGGGTTTTCTCCCCCAGAAAATTTTCGTATTTTTCTACCCGTATGACTGCAATTCCCTGCATTTTCTGAAACAGATTTTTGGATATACAGCATTACATTATGCTGTAGATAGACTGAACCTTCAGTTAAGTACTTGCATAGTATGTTTATGTAGATACCACAACTTGGCCGTCACTTAGGGAGCCAGCTTGATGAACTTAGAGTTCCCGACTCCCACGAAGCGCCACCATGGTTGGCACAGAGCGGAAAATTTTTTGAAAATTTTGCGTCTCTAAATCATCGGAAATGGCATTTTCAAAGTCTTCTATACGTCTTTTGTTTGGCCCTTTCATTAATTCGTTCATTATGATTTGTGAGTCTATAATATCCGCGAGTCGGGATGAATTATTACGAGAAATGTTATCAAAATATCGATTACAGATATTTGATTATATGTATATATGATTTTAAATACTTCTAGTTTCGAAATCAAATTGTTTTTTTTTTGGTGGGGGCTAAAATTATCCTCCCCCCCTTATAAAACACTTGGTTGAGGGCCTGTTGCCCCCTGTGGTCACTAACTTGTCCAACAACTCAAACTCTATAGGGTCTGGGAAATGCAATCCACTGCCTGGGAAATGTTTAAAATCTAATAAGGTATTTATTAAACATAAAAGACAGGACATAAGATTCACAAAGCAAATTTCAGTTACTAGAATATCAAACCTCCCTTCTAAACTCCATGTTTTGCTTATATTTTAGAAAAAAGGGACTTTGACTGGGGGGGCCAAAATGGTTGAGTGGGGGGGGCACCATGGGGGCTGGGAGGGCTTTGGCCCCCCCAGTTATATAGTTAAAAAATGCCCTGACCTGGCCGGTCCAAAGGTGGAAACAATATTTGCCACGCTCTCTGATACGGGAGAAGAGAACGACTTCGATAAAGCCATAGAGAAATTGACAGAGTATTTCGCGCCGAAAAAAAACATTCTATACGAGCGACATATTTTTCGCCAAGTCAGCCAGCGATCTGACGAAACAATTGA